GCGCTAGAGCCAGAGCAGGGGAGAGCTGGAACAAACCATTTTATCTATATTTTTGTTGTTAAAATGTAACGTCTCAAACAAGTACAGTACTGTATGCTTTTTATATTTTTAGTAGTGTGTCACACAAACAGCAAATATTGTCAAAAAAAAAAAAAGAAATCTTTGGGGGTGCTTAAGCACCCCCAAAATGAATAAGCACCCCCAAAATGCTTAAGGTGCTTAAGCACCCCCAAAAATGGGCTAAAATGTTGTGTTGAAATGACCCTGCTGGGGGGATTTCTGTGATGGTTTGAGGCGCTGCAATGGCCGTTCACCGCCTCAGGGGGCGCTGCTCAGACACGGTGAGAGAACCGAGGAGCGCAGAGGAAGAAGAGAAGCAGCGGCTGAGACGATGGCCGGACTCTATCAATGGACCCGAGCTGGACTTAAAACATAATTTCACGCGCACTGAGCCATCACCAGGTAAGAAGAGCTTACCTGGGAACACCTGGACATGTTAGCACACCGGCTGGGCTCACCTGTCCCCGCACCGCTACTAATGTTAGCTTAGCACGGAGCTTTAAAAGGGGACTGCGCGCAGGCAGCAACAGTTGGCCTGCTAATGCTAAGCTAAGCTAGGCTAATAGGCTGCAGCTAATAGAGCCGCTCGGTCAGCTGACTAACGGCCTGGTGACGGTCAGCTGACTAGAGGACCAAAGCAAATATGGGGAACAGCGGCCTCAGAGCTAGAATAGGGTCACTGGGACAGCTGACGGTCAGCCATCAAATGGCCTGTTAGTTTAATGCCAGGCTAACAGCTGATTTCTGGTCCCGATGACCTCTGACCCCGGGAGGTCACGCCTGTACAGCTCAAGTGGTCTGAGGTGGGGCTACAAAGATAAACGTGTGGGTGTTTTGAAGGTGTCTCACCTGACTTGAAACCAGTTCAACGCACTCAGGTTGCCCCTATTAGGCCCCTGACGTCATCAGTCACAGGGGCGTGGTTATCAAACTAAGCGGACAGGGGTTGTCAAACTTACAACACACACACCTGTCCTGGTGACTCACTCCGCTTTTTTATTATTTCTTCTCTGTAAATCACCTGTTAATGATTGATCACATGCAGACTTCGCCCCTCATGTGAATGCCTGGCCAGATTTATTGATGATGTGAGGAGCGCACCTCCCAGGGATCAGGGACACAAACCACACCCACCCCAGCATCACACCTGCTGTGTGACTGAGCTTGTTTTATAGAGGGCAGTCTCTCTGATCAATAACTGATTATTTGATATGGCTGAAGCTCAGAGACTTGCTCAGGTGCGCTCTCACCTGTAACTGTTTCAGACAGTCTCTCTCCTCGGCTGTGACGTGAGCGAGCTGCACGCTTCCTGTGGTCGGCGAGTGTAGACGTAGACAGAAAATAGTTCCTCCTGCTCAGAGGAAGGTTTGTTATGTCTTTGTTGAGCAGCAGAGCAGTGATTGATTGATCCTGATTGGGATCTGTTTTACTCTGACGCTGAAAAGCAAAGATCTGCAAATTAGCACTTCCTGTTTCGTAATGCATGATCGATCAGCAGATTGATCAGCAGATGATGTTGTCTGATGGTTGTGAACATGCCGTCATTCCTGTGATCGGTGCCTAGCTCGCCACACAACCCCCCCTCGCCGCTGACTCATTGACCAATCAGCTAAACTGACAACACACAGCCTGACCTTTGACCTCTCTGTCTTTCAGTGCCAGAGGGTGGAGCTAACTGGCAGCCATGATGGAGGATGCTGAGCTGGATCTTTCCCCCGCCCACTCGGATCAGAACAGCCCCTCGCCCTCCATCTCCATCTCCTCCTCGCCCTCGCTGTCTCTTCCCTCCACGCCGTCCTCTTCCTGCGGCCCCCCACAGGCTACTACCCCTCCCCTGGGCGTGATCAACGAGGGAGTGGCTGAGCTCAGCCTGGTGATTGATGCCGAGGTAGCCCAGCGGGCGTGTCAGGAAGTGCTGCAGAAGGTGAAGCTGCGTCAGGTGGATTCCGACAGCACCTTATCACAGAGCGAGGAGGGACCAGATGCGCCGCCGTCCGACCCAGAGGGCCCGGCGCCAGGCTCAGTCAAGAGCGCGCGGCGGCGGCAGAGACACAACCCCTCCAAACAGTCGTGGCTGCTGCGCCTGTTCGAGTCCAAGCTGTTTGACGTCTCCATGGCGATCTCCTACCTGCACAACTCTAAGGAGCCTGGCGTGCAGGCCTACATCGGTAACCGCCTGTTCAGCTTCCCGCACGAGGAGGTCGACTTCTACCTGCCGCAGCTGCTCAACATGTACATCCACATGGACGAGGACGTCGGTGACGCCATCAAACCCTATGTGGTGGGTGTGGCCAGGCGTTACGGGGCGTTTGTTGGTGGATGGTAACGGTGTCGTTTGGTTTCTAAGCTTCTCTGAGCGTCTCCTACTGAGTCAGGTGACCACCAGGTGGGGTGTAGCGTTAACCAAATCTTGTCCTAAACTCAGAGCTGCCAGTGCTCCGAGTGCAGTGAGCGTCGAAACTGCGGGACAGACTGAGTGCTGTACCTTAGATTACTGTACCTTAGATTACCGTACCTTAGATTACCGTACCTTAGATTACCGTACCTTAGATTACCGTACATTTGATTACTGTACCTTAGATTACTGTACCTTAGATTACTGTACCTTAGATTACCGTACATTTGATTACTGTACGTTAGATTACTGTACCTTAGATTACTGTACCTTAGATTACCGTACATTTGATTACTGTACCCCTTGGGGCGATCGTGGCTCAAGAGTTGGGAGTTCGTCTTGTAATCGGAAGGTTGCCGGTTCGAGCCCTGGCTTGGACAGTCTCGGTCGTTGTGTCCTTGGGCAAGACACTTCACCCGTTGCCT